CGGCAAATATGTATTCATAAATATAATCCTTCAATTTTAATAATTAAATACTTTCAGCATTTTTACTCCACAATAAATAATTGGTGTGTAATTGAACAAACTTAGGCCTAAGTATCCTTAATCACGGTAGTTTGAATTCATGGTCATAATCAATGATGCTTCTAAAATATGCTTTTCTATATTTTAAAAATATAAATCGCATAAATTCATTGACTATAGGCCTACTAATTTTTAAATTACTGTATTTACAATGACCAAACGTAAAAAAAAGAACTACAAAAATACTACCAAACCATTCAAATTTTTTTTTTAATATTTAAATTTAAGAAGGGATGACTTTGACACAGTTGATACGTTAGTGCTGAATTGGCTCTGACATCATAATATGTTAAACAATGGTGAATTGCTTTGCATATTGAGCTTTGGGACATATCTCAATTGATAACATCAGTTTTTATGATACTTATTTAACATAAAAGCAGTTTATCTATTTAATAACTTTATAGATTAAATTGAACTAATAAACCCATTACTAATTGAAAATTAAAAAAAAGTTATGTAATAACAAAATTCGTTGCTATATTTCATTTAATGTCAAGTGTTCATTTTCACATTTTTTTATGTTAAAAAAAAACTTAAAAAATACTGTAGGCATCTATCAAAGAAATAGGCTTATATACGCAATAAAATATAATATCGACGAATAAGTAACGTTACATATCAGTGTCAACTTAACCCCAACTTTGTGTTTTCAAATTTTTTTTTAATGAATTGTTTGTTGATGATTATTAGTCACTTTAAAATCGTTTGTTAGTTGCAATACTTTTAAGATAATCACTTAACTACTTTTCCACTTCATTAATTGCTCGAATAGTGGTAGCCTAGGAGCTTTATCATTATTTTTTTTTCAGAATTTATCGTAGAATATATACAATTTGGCTTAAAAGTAGGCTTGTATGAGAATTTTTTTAAAGGATAGAATTATAAAAATACGTTTTTTATAACGTAGTTTATTAATTTTTATAATATAGGCAATGTATATAGAATAATATAATACAGTGGACTAAGGAGGAACTGAATGACTACAAAACAAATATGCTATATTTACGAGTTTTTGTATTATATTTTTCAATTTAATTTTTAGTTCTTTCAAATGGGAGCGAAAACCCTTCAAATATCATGTGTATCTTGTAACCATCACTGTAACATTACGCAGTGGAGCATTATAGATTCATGGGCCCCAGACCCCAGATATGACCTAAATTTTAATTTCGATATTCCTAGTACAGTAATGAGTTTATAAAAAATTAGTTTGCAGGGCCGGATCAACCCGCTTTCGGGCCCTAGACATTTTTTTCCTACCGGGACCCCTCCCTCTCACACAAGAAATAGAGCACACAAAAAATATAAAACAATAAATAAAACACAACTACTGTGCCTTATTAACAATGTGAAAAACTAAAACAAATATTAAATTTTTATTAATAAAGAATATTTAATATACAACAATAAATTTTAGTTTTTCTAGAAAAGTTTGAACAGTTTGTTTATAACTTTTAAAAAATTGAAATTTATTTTATTAAATGTTTAACAAAAGTTGTTATATAATAACAATATTACCTTAAAATATTAATTGTTTAATTTAATCTTTTTGGTTAATATTTAAATAATATAATATTTTACCCGTGAAAGATAAATTGAGTAATGAAAAAGATAATTTAAATAAAAGCCAAGGTAGTTTAAAAGAATAAGTATATAAATATGAATAAACTTTATTTAAAAATTCTGTTTTCTAGTCTTTAATTCAGCAAAATTATCAATTATTTCATCATAATTAATATTATCCAAAGCATTTTGTTCGATAAAAAGCTAAAGAATTTAATTCTGATTCATTCAGTGAGTTTCGTAAATAATTTTTTACACATTTTAATACTGAGAATGACCTTTCACCAAATGCATTTGATATAGGCAAAGTTAAATATATTCGCATTAATATTTCTATATTTGGAAATGTTGATACTGTACTAGTTTTGTGCTCTTTATAAATTGCAGCATATCAGATGGCAACGTTAATTTTTGGCTTTTGCAAATTAATTTAAATTTGCAGCAATTCCTCGTCCGATTCTTCTGTATCAATATCGCCACTGTACCACTTTTTTAGCAATGCAGTATTAATTGATACATCCTCGTCGTCGCCGTCAGTTATGCTTGTATGAAGAATTTTAAAAATTTCATCAATATCTTTCAAAATAAACAATTTACCCGGCCTTTCTAAAAACAGGGCCCTAGATATTTGTCTCATTTGTCTATGCGATGATCCGGCCCTGTTAGTTTGGGACACCCTGTTTGTGGGGGCTCCAGGCAATTGCCCTTTTTACCTATAGATAACGCATCACTGATCTGAAAGCCATATAGAAACCGAAAAATATTCCTTAATTGACACAAAATTTCAATATCTGAGTATATTTGCCTATTGGACACCGGTCAACTATTGGTGTATTTATCTTATATGCATAAATCACATTATGCAAGAAAACTGTAAATAGAGATTATGGTTATTTAAAATAAAAAAAAAATCTAGCAATGAGTTGCGTAACTTTCCATCTGTAGGCCTAATGAGATTTTATTAAAAATATAACTTTTACATTATTAATGATAACAAATCTGAATGTGTGTGACGCCGTATGTTATGAGATTTTGTTAATGTTATAAAAAGTTTTTATATTATTAATTATTATGAAACGTTCAAAAAAGCTTAATTTTGAAGGTAGGGATGAGTTTTATTTTAAAAAAAAGTTGTAAATGCTAATAACGAGTAAAATCATTTGAATTCGACCCCTCTCGCTACATGATACTTGACCCACTTTTATCTCCCATCCCTTGACCTTTAACCATCAAAATTTAATAGCGTCAATGCCCCTTATATACAAGTTACTTTGCCAAATTTCGTTTCTTAATTTTTGCCCCCTCCTGTATTAAACGAAACAGACGTCAACTCACACACATACATATTTCGATTAACAGTTATTTTGGCTTTTGTGGGTTTAGAGGTATCAAAATCCTAACATGACTATTTCAAAATCCCAGAGAGACAAATATAACGCGATTACAATATTATAACAGCTGGTAATATAACCCATGTTACGTTAAAACAGTCAGAAAAGTAAAAATGTTTTATGATTAAACCCTGTGTTATGTTATAACAGCCGGGAAATTAAAACACAGTATTTATTTATACTTTTGCAACATTTTTAACGTTTCATAATTAACGAATAATCATTCGCTCTTACAGCAAAAAGAGAAACTTGTAGAAGTGGTTGCAGGTAACGAATAAGCGTCCACCACTGCAGTGGTGGACACTTGACCAACATGGATAAGGACATGGCCAACTAAGGCAACGATCAACTAGGCCACTGCTAACTGGGGCCGGACATTCCTGCGACAAAATAAGAGATGAATAATAGACAAAATACAATTTTTTTTGTTTTCTTTACAAAAATCATCATTCTTTTCTATTGATCTACTACCCGATAAATTTAAATATTTTTTAAGAAACGAGTGAACGAGTTAAAAGAACGATTTTATTAACAAACATATATATACATATTATATACTGTACTTTTATTTATTTATTTTTACAAGTAAATAGAGAAGTTTCGAAGGACGATTGATATCTACCCCCAAAATGAACAAATATGTAACAACAATTAAATTAAACAATAAAATTAAAAACACATTACATTATACATTAAATACAATATAGATTAAAATAAAAAAGTATAAAAGTTCTTCGAAGGAATTTGTTTTCGAAGAACTACTTTTCTTTGATGTGTTTTGTTAACCGCTTCTGACAAAATAATTAACGATGCTAGAGTATGTTGTTCCAGAACTTAACATGAAGATGCTCATCAAAGCCGCAAGGAGATTTCTTGAAAAATTTTGAAGGTCTAGATAGAATTCGAATCTGAATTCTATTTAAATACTTTCAGATGTTGATAAGATAATTTTTTTTTATTGTTTGCGCCTTGAAGATACTAAGAAGGTTTATTTTAGTCGTATCCAAGTTCACAATTAAGCGGCCGAAGTGATGAGAAACAGAATCGACATATCCTGCAAAAATTCTTGAATTCCTGATCGGGACTCAAACTCGGCTTCCTACAGCGGCAGGCTGTTGCCTTTTTACCGCCTTGGTCATTCGGCCGTAGCTGAGGTACAGTCGACCCCCCTATAATTACGGTCCCTATAATTACGATTCCTATAAAACTACGAAAAAATATACGTATTTTGGAAATGTTGAGTCGGATTAGTGTAGAATCGATTAATTTTATGGAAGAAAATCTTTCAATCAGCCGTAGTCCGTAAACTTGACACGTGTCGGGCTGTGATTGGAACGACTTGTAAGAAATCGGACTCCTAATAAATTGGAACGTATCTATATCTTATAGGGGGGTCGACTGTATCTTATTGAGTAGTCATTCGTTCTTCTTTTTAAACCGATATAAACTGATAACAAGAAGCATAGCTTACTCATTAATTACACATAAAATATTTGTAAAACGGTTATCCATTTAGTATGTCGGTTTCTATGTCACTGCTAATCGATACTGTGAATTGAAGATATATGCCAATTTCAAACATTTTAAAATGGTGTTTTTTAATACTTTTACTTTGAAATAATAGATCAGTTATCTTTCATCAAACTGACATTTCCTGACAGAAAAATTTATGATAAAATGAGAATTTTAGTTTGTAAACAATAATTTCGATCACATCGTAAGCAAATTCCGTATAACAAGGAAAAATGTCGTTTTAATTAATACATTTTGAGATCGTAAAAAAATTACGTATTTCATATAATCATTATAAATTAATTTTATATTATTATAGTACTTAATTTATAATGATCAAAATTCATATTAATTCGAGTAATTTATGTAATTAATTATTATTATTAATTTTTAATTTAGAAGAAAATGAAATTTTAACAGAGGGCGGTTTTTGTTATGTAGAGTTTCGCAATATTTCTTCAAAAGTTGTTGGTCACTTGGTCAGTGATTAAAAGTAAAAAATTAAACACAAATATCCACGAAAATTATAATGATAAAACTTATATTTTAATTTTGGTAATAATGTCATGATAAAAGTTTAGTTAAAACATTATTTCCGCCATGAAATGGCAATGAGATTGGATTGGTAAGTTTTACTTTATTTTTCCTTTTCATTAATGATGAATATACACATATTGTCTTATCTATCACTGCCTAAATTATAATTTTTACTAATAAAACAAGATAAATATATTTACATTAGTATGAAATACTTCTCTATTGCTTTCTTCACATTGATGTAAACAAATACCACTTAAATGGTTGATCCTAAATGTTTAAACAATAAAATTTACATAAAAGAAAGCAATATTAGATGAAACTACAGATTTTGATTGCCGTATTTGATAATTGCACAATTGACATTTAATTTTCTTCTGGTAAAGTACTGTGGACGTAAAGTAATTTAATTGGTAAAGAATTTGGAACTTTTGTCCATGCTGTATTCATTTATTTATGTTGGTAAGTGTCTATTCAACTTTGCGAGTAATTCTGTTAGCAATAATGTTGTTGTTATTGTATTCAATTTTTTAATAAAATTTTTAAGAGTTAATAGAAGACATATTTTTGATCTTACCATTCAGTCTACTATTAAATTTTGAAAAAATCATATATATATAAATGAAATAATAAAAAATTTCGAAGTTTTAAATTCTTTATATTGTTTTGGTTTAGTTTTAAATTACTTTTATTTGTGATTGAAATAAATTTTAGCTGCTGTCTTTAATAACATAAACATGCATTTCTTATTTACTTGTAGAAACAACTTATTTCCAAGTATCATAAACTTAAGATTATTATTCTGCTGAAATGTTTACAGATGAGTTTTTTAAAATTCATTGTAAAGTATGATAAAATTTCAGCAGTACTCTATCAGAGAGTTTTTATTTAATTAATTGTTTCCTTTTATATACAATGCTCTAAATTTATTCTAAAGCATTCTATGTAATAAAAGAAGCACAGTTAAAAAATACACACCGTAACAAACTCCAGCAAAAATTTTCACTGTTTGAAAACATAAAAAATTTTGTTGGAGCTTAAGGAGGATATGTTTTTAATTGACTTATTTCTCCAGTTGCAGTTATTTTTGAAAATAATTTTAAAACATTTTAAAAACAATGATATTGATAGATACACTGAAGAATTTAAACAATTTCATTTTTCTCTGATTACAAATTGTAATAAAAATTCTGATTGGTAAAGTCAGAAAAATGATAAATTTTTTTTTATTTATTTTTGGTGTACTTATGGCCTTTGCCTATCAATGTGTTAAATGTTATTTGGGAAAGTTGAACAATATAACTGTCTTAGAAAGTAGAGATTTAAGATATCTTAAATTTTATCTTAATGAATTCTTTTAATGTAGCATTCTAAAATAAAAATATTTATTATAAATGAACCTTACTTTTTTTTAAAACACTGCATATTTTTCAAGAATAATATTGTATTTATTCTGATAATTGATTAGAAAAGACAATAAGTAATAATAATCATACTTGTCATGAATATGGATTGCAATGGATGGCATTAAATCTCTGATCAGCTAATTACTGCATTACAGGAGGTCCTTGTTAGTTCAAAATTCAAGGGATGAAATAATCATGACTTTGAATTATTGAGTTTCTAATTATCCAAGATTTGCATATTTCTGTACAATATGCCAAATTCTATGTAACTGATGTAATTTATTAAGCAAATGGAATACAGATACATATACAGAATGCTATTTTTGTTAATTAATTAATAATAATAATATGCAGGTAAACTGCAGGTAAACAGCACATGTCAGATGAGAACCTTACAGGTTGCCAGATAGGTTTTATTAAAAGTAAAGCAGAATTCTTGGAAATGTAGCCTAAATTATTTTTAGAGAGGCTCAAAATGTAAGTTGCCCAAATTCTCAAAGTAGTATCTATCTTATTCTGCTACTTGTAGCTCAATCTTGTAATCCCGAAAACGTGTTTTAAAATGTTTGTATTGAATTTTAATGCAAATGACGTTTTGACTAGTTTAGTGATTGTAAGAAACCTGGGTTAATGTTACCCTACGTATCGAACATGGTGTTGGTTGCCAACTCGGTCGGCGCTTCTGGTTGCCATCTTGTTTGCGAACTCAGCGGCTGCGGCGGCGGCTCCTACGCCCCCCAAAAGTGAAACAAATCGTATTACGAAATAATAATATTTCATAATTCTTTCTTATTACTAAAACATAAATACATATATATAAAGTAAAAATAATGTGTAAAATTTTTTTTTTTTTTTTACTTACGTTCGCATGCTTCTTTCTCTCTGTGTTTTTTTCCTACTTCTTGCGTGATGCCTTGTTTTTCCTTTTTTTCCCTTTTTGTTCCGCCGCGTTTTCTCTTTCTTCTTACTTTTATTAACGGGAGCAGCAGGCACGGTCTCAGGCCCTTCCTATAATGGTAATCTTCCGGATCCGAGATATGTTACTCTTAAATGTTGCGCAAAAATGTAGAAACATTCGCCTGGTTTTTTTGAGAGCCAATCGTGGTATTTTTTCCCACCACCAATTCATTCTGACCCAATTCGGAATAGTCACTTTCGAGAAGACGGAAAAAGACCCGGGAGATAGTATGTCCCTGCCAAAACTCTCTCTGGAGGTAACGTCCAAATCACTCATTCGGAAGAAAAATAACGAATGGGGGGAAAAAACAAAAAAAGACGCCTTTGATTTAAGCGACACGCAATGGAGAAAAATTTCAACATGGGATAAATTATTTTTTCGTACATAATTGGTTATCCAAAAAATAAGTTATCCGAACAACCCCAGTCTCCAATTGATTCGGATAAACGACGCTCTACTGTATTACGATAAATAAAACTATGTTTTTATATTGGAACATGGTGTATACTGCTTAAAATATTTAAATACTTCTCACCTGTTAACGTGTAATAAACATGCTATCATATGTTTACAAAAACCAGACAGCCCCGCTTTGCATGTGCATTCTCCCTGTAATTGAAATGTATTAAAATGCCAATATCTGAGATTGCAACATTAAAGCAACAACATGAACTTTGGTGTTGTTGTTAGAGTTTAATCCACAAAATATGATGTGACCAGCATCCAAAACAGCTTCACCTTCTACAAGACAACGTTTCCTGTTGCCGATATAGTCTAGAATTTGACATAAATTCAATGATTTGTTATCCATTTGGTCCTCGCAGTAGTAGTCACTGATAGAAACTGAATTGGCTCAGGCACTGAACAAACACGTGGTCAGTTCCTTACCTGTTTCGGCAGCCATCTTGGCTCAAAAACAGCGCCCTCTGTAGGATTTGGCACTTGCCAATCTCTCACACACGAAGAAGAAAATCTTTCAGCAGAGGTATAGCTAGGGTGGGGCAAGTAGGTACGTGCCCCAGGCACCACTTGCAGAGGGGTGCCAAATGGTCTCCAAGACAAACAAGATTTGTTTCTGGAGGGGGCGTCAATATAGTGTCGTGCCCTGGGCACCAGTTATGTTTACTACACCATTGTCAGTCAGTCGGCCATGGCATCTGATGTTGTATTAGCTTATATATATGCTTGTGATACCCATGTTGGGCAGCTACGCGGAGTATGTACGCTAGTTTGGTATCCCGAGCCTGGATGTTAGACGAATGCATAAAGGCTCTTCTGATTAATGCTCTAAAGGTTGCAGATTTATATATGCTTGGATCACAGGACTTGGCAGGAATGTAGGATGATGTGGATCCGGGTTTATGATATACCAAAGTATTGATTCCCGAGCTTTCGACCTTAATGCTTATATCCAGAAAGTGCACTTCTGATGGGCTCGATTGTTCTACTTCTAATGTTAGCCTGTATAGGTTATTGTTAAAAGGATTGACAAAGGTTGCTACATCTGGTGTTGTTTTCCAAAAAACAATGATGTTATCTATATACCTCCTCTGTAATTGGATGTTGGGGTGGTATTGAGGGAAGACTCTGTTTTCCAACTGCTGCACCACCATTTTACACAGATCCCCAGAAACCAGCCTGCCCATGGGAACTCCCTTACTCTGTGTGTAGATCTTGGCATTAAATTGGAATACAGAATTATAACAAATTAAGTGCGCCAATTCTAGCACTTGGTTGTGCAAAGTGTGGTCCCTGACTATACGGAATAGGATGTCCCTAAGTGCACAGAATGTTGGAGGGAGCTCAATGGAGGGGTAGAGGGACGTAAAGTCCAACACGGTGATGTTACAGGGCAAAGTGACTTCTTTCAATTGAGCTATAAGTTCCATTGGGCTGGTGATGGTGTACTGGTATCCTTCCAGGTGTGGAGTAAGAAGGGTGTGCACTGCTTTCTCAAGCTTAAGAGTATAATATGAGTATAATATTTACTCGTAAGCTTTCTCAAGCTTATGAATAAATACTGAATGCAAACTATCAGCAACTATATTGTCTCAGTGTTGACATATTCGTTCAGAGTAATATGTTAGACTCAGAACTAGAACAATTCCAAAGGAAAATATGAATAATCTTTAAATGCAGGAAACCTACTGGTGTTTCAATTAAGACTATCAAATGGTAAACCTGAATTTGTCTTATAACCAAGTCTGTTTTAATCAGGAGGCAAAATGCAGTTGGTACAAATACTTTAATTTATTTTTATTGTTTAACAGTTTTTAATTATTCTTTTTTTTTAATTTTATTACTTTTTTTGATTTTTTTAAGTTTTGAAAATTGTTTAAAAAAGAATTTTTCACAAAAACTGTTTGAGGAGTATTTTGTGATATCAGTGAGAGATAGTGTTGCCACCTTTTCAAATTTGCTGACCCGGACGGCAGATCAGGTTTGTTCGAACATAAGTGCTTGATGCATGCGCAATGTCATTTTACAATGTGAAGAATAATGTGCTAGATAACTTATCCTGTAGACATGTATGATTGTATATGCAAAAAAGAAAGGTTGACAAGTTGTGCGCCACACGTAACCAGATGAACATGGCAGAATTGCAGACAAGTTTCAGTGAGTGAGTTCTTTTGCTGTTAAAATAGTGTAAATTTGTAAAAATATTTGCAAGAACTTTGTTTCATTGTAATTTCACAATTTCTACGAAATTCCCAGACAAAATTA